TATATATATATATATATATATATATATATATATATATATATTATATATTATATATTATATATTATATATATATATATATTATATATATATATATATTATATATATATTACTTACCTCATTAAATCACGGCACTGGGTATATAAAAGGGCGTGTGAATTGGACAAGTCACTGATGAAGATCCGGGATTACGGATCGAAAACTTTGCAGTAATAAATTTACGTGGTGTTTCCACAAACAATAGTATTATATTATAAATTAGTTTTCCTTTGTTTTTGTACCAAAAATTCACCTAATGACATCATATCCGGAAATTTTGACAGTGAAAAAGTTGATCAAGATGAGGTTTTTTACTATAAAGATATATTAGTAGTATGTAATATAATATTACATTTCTTCTTAGAATGACCCAAATATTACACATACCAAAAATCATATTTTGGGTTGGTCGCACTTTAAATATAAATTGACAAATTGGTATAAAATTATCAACAGTTCAGCAATCACAATAAGAAAGCACATAGCACTTGATAACTATCTGACGTTAAGAATTCTATAAACAATGAAAATTTCATTTTAAATCAGTTCTTGTTTATATATTACAGGTGTATTGCAACATGTGTGGCTGTAAATACCATCATTGCTCTTCTACTTCAGGTATATCTTACTTATATCCTGTATTTTCAGTTGGTGATGTCGCAATATGACGTTTATCTCGGGGTGCACATGCTCATCCTTTATTTGAAAAGGCCATAACTTATGTAAATTTCATGCAATACCCTCTGTATTTTCAGTTGTACTCTTCCTACAAATCCGCCTGCACATGCATGCATGTATAAAGCTATCATATAACAAGATAATTAATGAAGAACTATGTTTTATTGTCTAGGGCAAACATGACTTAAGCAGCGATGATTCTGTGGAGGAAATATTATTTGAAGCTGCAGAAAGGTCAAAAAGATATCTCAGTGATGTTTTTCAAGTCAATGAATTAAATAAATACATGGAATGTAAGACGTTTGAAAGGTATTACTAAATAGAGATTTGCGATAATACAGTAATTTCTATTAAGGTTGCAGAAATTTGTCTTTACGATATCTATACAAGCCCAATTTATAGCGTTTATACGTAATGTAGCCCTATAAAAAAGAAAGTTTATATTTACAGGCTGCCAAATCACGAGGGTGGGATGAGCTTACCGGTGGATATTTATACAACGCTTATATGGATATGTCGTTACAACGTAACAAAGCAAAATTTTCATAATGCAATATATCGTTATATAATGCAATATAGAGTTTGTGTCAATTTGGAGGAAGAAATCAATTTGTTCTGCACCAGCAATCAATATGCAGTACCATTGGAATTGTAAATTTAAAGGGAAATAGCAATAAAAATTGCGTTTCTCCCATTTGGAAGAAGAATTCAATATACGATTTTCGATGTCGTAATTGGTATAAAAGATATTACCCTTCATTAAACAAAATCATTATGCAGTCCGCCATCTTGGATATGCATATCCTTGTCGGATGTGCGTGACGTCACAACCAGGGTAGCATTATTTTGTATCGTGAGAAATTCTCATGCCATTTTAATGATAAATCCTATTTTTTACTGTTGCCTGTTTTAAAATTAAAGCATAAGCTGTGTATAAACTTTCCACTAATAATATATTTGTATTTCTAAAATTTCTACCCTGGTTGTGACGTCATTTAATTAAATCTAATCATAAAAAAAGATAGCGGATGACAGGATTTTTCGGTTTCAAAAATCTCAAAAACTAAGATAGTTTATACAATTTCTTTCAAATTAGGCAAACATAATTTTTGTTGCCATTTTCCTTTAAAGATGGGTAAATAGCCAAAAGTTAGGAGAAAACTTTTAAATTGGTGTGTTGTGGCCAAGGTGCACAACATTGTGTTTAATGATTCATGAACATTGTTCAAATCAATATAATGCTAATTGGGCTATAAAACCGTACGTGCATGTGTAATGTGCAACATGCATGTAATCACACTATCAGCAAGTAAGCCATGTAGTCATGCAAGTCCGCGGGTATTCCCGCGCTTTGGTGAGTGATTTGTATATTATCTTAAAGTTTACATTTACTGCACGTTATTGTATTCTGCAGGAATTTTACAGACAGTCAATCTCGTTTAAAACTGTGTGCAGTCATGTGTATATCGTGTGAATAAAAGTTTGTTCGATCCCTGTACCGTACATGGTATGTACAGGATAACCAATTAAAGTTTGTTTGTATTTAATTGTAGTGTGCAATGCAATGAGACAAGCAATATGGTGTACACGTTTAAACCACTTGGCTCAGCTGTTGTTGGACTTAGGAAATTCAACGAAAGCTTTCAGTACGTATATAATTGCAAATGATCTACTCGAGTACTGTAATAATCCCGCGCATATATGTTAGGATTTCAAGAATCTCATAAATAGTAGAGTGATATAAGTCAGATTTTCAGTATATGCAACCAGGTCAATAAACACTTAGTGGATGAGGGCATTTTATACCTGTTTTTAGCTGTTCATTTGGCAATTTACAATAGGCGCCATCTTGTTTGATTGCCTATGAGCACGGTACATTATCAGTTCAGCCATACAAAAATCAATCAACACTACTGGCCAGTGAGCTCCATATATATCGGGAATGAGAACTCGAGTTCAAAACGTGAAGCCAAGGTGACGGAAATTGAAGAGCTATTGGACGTCAGTTCAGACTTTTTATTGTTTTTGCCTGCGCGGATGGACACGAAGCTGCAAGGAGTATGCCGAAATTTCGTATTTTTACTTCGATTTAAAGACTAATATTAAGATTTTATGAAATGATAACTTGTTTAGTGATACGATCCGTTAGATAAAACTGGAACTAGCTGGGAAAACGACTTTCATAGATTTTGGACGTCAGTTTCCGCCATCTTGGCTTTACTTTTCTCGTGCCGAGTGACTGACGTGGCAGAAGTCTGCCAGACGACCAATAAAATGGTGTATGCCTAAGAACAGACTGAATTTGTTTTACAGGTTGTGCATGACTGATGTAATTTTTGAAGGAGGAATGGCCAGCTGCAATGCCATAGTTATGGGAGCAATATTAGGATGTCACACTGGATATAAAATGTTACCTAAGAAATGGATTGATGGATTGTCTCAAATGCACAAAGATTGGTTAAATAGTAAACTGAACTGTTTACTAAACATCATGGGTCTACCGTGAAACTCAGGTACGTCATGTGGCTTGGAGCTATTTAGATATAATTACTGTCATTACATATTCATGAAGTAATCAACCATGGCAAGTAAACAAGACGTGGAAAATATGCAGTCGAGAAATAAGACCTTCCCAAGACTGCAGGATCGGAACATTTTGTAGGCATCGAAAACTCAGACCATAGGTCCGGTTAAATAATCGCAGCTTGTTCCACACTACTTGAGTAAAATTATAATCCTCTCACTCAAGATATTGAGTAAAATTACTCAAAATTATGAGCAACTTTACTCATTTTTCAAGTAAATCTTTACTTAAAAGATTGGATGAGTAATTTTACTCAAAATTTTGAGTCACAATGTGGGTACATGCATTATTTTACTCAGGTGTTTTAGTCAGTATACCCAGGTATTTTTTGCACTGCAAATTTAAACTGGTTGTTCTAGTCCTATTTGTTTTAAAATCGAGTCCTATCGACGATCCTTCTTTTCCTGACTGATATAAATGCTTTCATGTTTCGCTGTAAATCTTAAACCCTACAATTTTCTGCACGCACTTTAATACCAAACTGAAGAAGCACTGGGGTTTTACTGTTACCCGGTAAACCAGGGGCGGATCTAGGATTTTTCGCACGTTAGTCAAAAATCTATGACGTCATCGATGACGCAAAACGTGATGACGGCATTTGCCATGACGTCATTCGATGTCACGATGATAATCCAATTTTCGCGGGAGTATAGAAATTTTATTTTATCAAACTTCAAATGCGCAAATGACATAGTTTTCGTACCTGCCAATGTTCAGCATATAGATGATAAAGTATTATATAGACTGTTTTGCCCTACAGTGTATACCTTGGTTCATCAGCATGCCTAGGAAACACATTTACCAAGAATAGTAAACCATGATCCAACAAGGACAGTTTCTTGAAAAAGCTGAACAGAAGCACATCTTTCTGGCACCTTAAAACTAGATTGCTTGCCTTCACACCTTTTGCAAGAGCAAAATGAGTTTCATTAGAACTTAGAAATGGGTGACAATGAAAACCACCTAAAATGAGCAATCTGGTTTTAAGGTGCCATAAACCCACCTCACACATTTCACCATAGCAAAAGGAGTTTGGTTAAAAATGGGTGACAACATGTGAAATTGCCCAGTTTTTCCCTTTAGCCCCTTCCCCATTCTCCCTATTACTAACCTATGTCTAATCTAATAACATCACAAGTGAAATGGTGCTTCAAAGCTGCAGCTTCATTGGAAGCCAACTTTTATTGAAACAAGTTTATTTTACCTGGCATTTTAATTAAACATATTTTAATCACCATGCCGATTCAAATACAAAAGATTCATTACAAATGACTATTACTTTACTTATCTAGTTATCTGAAATAATTGGCAAGGTTTTTAACACAGTATTCTATTATTCTTACACTATGCTTACATACTGTATATAGACACATACTATCAACATAGTGTTTGTCTGTCAGGGCCTGAAATAACATTCCCAAAATTCCCGATCATCATGGTGATTGATCATGGTGATCGGCAGTCATGACTTTCTTTGCTTTTTCAGGTTGAAAACCCTGCTTTTCCGCTGATCATAAGCAATTTCTTGCTGATTATTGATTGGTAATCAGTTGTTATTTCAAGCCCTGGTCTGCTGAAAAATTTAACTGGTTCAAGATGCAATAGACCCGTCTCAAGCCAATGAGATCAGACCGATATTTGGCATCAGCTTTTGTCTACAAAGCCAGAATGTTTGGGGAGGGGGGAGATTATGGGAATTAAGGTGGTGATCTTGAAAGGCTAAGTTTGGTTGATGATGAAAGAAGTTTTTTCTCATGCCCCAGGAAGTTTTTTCTCATGTCAGTGTTGTGTACAAGAGTGAGGTTATTGTTTTTGGAGGCGAGAGTGGTCTTTTTACAAGCCGATATATTTAACTTTAACCTCATGTTCCAGAAAATTTATTAATAAAGTTTCCTACAGTATGTTAGGAATAATATCCTGGTGAATTTGCATCATGACCAAGCCAAGTCATTTAATTTAATTAGTCTTCAACCATAGTGTTTCTTTGCTTACACTGTATAAAAAGTGACCTACTGTATAGACCTTTCACACTTGCACTGTAAACACTTAAACTATCAAATTTATAGGTCATTGGTACCTGTCAATGCTTAGGAAACAGAGCTATACAGGCAATTGCCAGTTGCATTAGATCTAAAAATATAACCAAAGATTATATTATTATTATCTTCATAAAGTACATTTGTAGAGCTATTATCAGTCAATCAATACTCTATAAAGCATGTACACAATAAATATTTTTTATCCAACATGATCAAATATTTGAGATCAAGTTTCTGCCACTTGAGGTGTTTAATTTTATACACATATAATTTATACACATATAAATGAATATGTATGCAGTATATGAAACTTTGGACCTCTAACCTCGCAAAATTATGCAAAATTATGCAAATCGTACGTTCAATTCAACGATTTATTGTTCAAAATTCAAACCACTTTACCTTATTGCCATACGTACACCTCTTATTAATCTCTTGAAAATATAGACGACGAGAAATCAACATATCATAGTTTCGGCCAAGACAATTTTCTTGCATCCATCGAATTTATCAACTTGAAATATTCTCCACAGAACACCAGAAAGCATCCGTTATCGTAACAAATAACGATATAACCCTTTCGAAATCTTTATTTCGAAAATAGTTCTACAAATATACTAAGATTAAGCGAAATAATTTGCTTGTAAAATGTACAGAGCTGCAACAGAGCTACCAAGTGCACAATGCTTCCAAATTGAAGATTAGAACTTAGAAGGCCAATCAGAGGAGATGTTCTTTAACTCTTTTGCGCAAATTGTCCAATCAGAAGCTGCTATCTATTTGCAGGATTAGTCAAAATAGTCAAAATTGCGCAATCGTTAGTCAAAATAGGTCTGACCAATCAACATGCCTGTAATGTGTAATCTGAGCAAATTTGACCAATCAAATCACATGAACTAAAATGCAGAATAGTCAATTTTCATTTCAATACCGCTTATTTGACTTATCGTTTGACTAATCAATCGCTGGCTCAATGTGCAAAAACTGATCGAAGTTTATATGCTGGAGTGTGATATAGTTTTCATTGCATGATCAGAAATGAAGTGAAGCGTTTGCGCTGGGAAAAAATTCAAAAACCTTAGTGCAAATTTTTTTTATATGCCTTTTTTTACGTTAGTCGCGTGACTAATCTGACTACCCCTAGATCCGCCCCTGCGGTAAACATATGAAATGTTCCAAATAAAGACACGAGGTATAACGTTTTTTTAAAGCTTCATATCAGTAATTTTGATTATAGTAGGTTGATTAAGGAATAAAGAGATATGGCAATAAAAAAATTAGTTCCTCATTTGAAAGAACTTTTAAAATGAAGTGGAAATTTTTTTGATAGAAATCATAAGTCATGTAATTAATTGTACGGATGTGCATGCATGTTACGTCACAAATTGTTCTTTCAAATGAGATAAACAAACAATACCCCTTTAAGAAGAGGAGGGTATCTCAAATGTATACATCCCCTAAACAGCAGTACTTTTGTTCTCACAGTTATGTCCTAAATCTTGTTCACGTTTCTGTACTGTAGCACTTGGAATCGATACTAATGCTCCAAGAATTTCAAAGCATCCAGCAACAATTAAGGGAAGTTTAAATGTCCCAGTTGTATCTCTCAACCAACCTGAAGGGGAAAACATACAACCACATTTAGAAACACGACTTTAAGCTGGACCCCAGTTACACGATACCAGATTCGCTTCAGTCACGACATCGAATTTAACGGTTTGAGGAATATCTTAACACTTAAAATAGCGATAATATGACAAACTAAAACGAAAACTGTTAATGGGGGATATATACATTGTGGGAAGACATTACTCCTGAACGGCACATATCCGGCGGGTCATGTTATATGAGGCAATTTATACTGCATTCATCTCAATATCGGACATAGGGTGATGTTAGGTGAAAATGTGTTAACAGACACCATGAGTCAGCCCATATGAACTTGCAGTACTGCTTTTACTTTTCTCATATTTTCATTCTTATTCTACGGTATGGCACATGAGGAGGAAACGGTCGGCGGAGTGAAATGCGGGATAACATGACTCTGTGCCAGAAGTTGCAACTGCGGTAAAGAAAATGTAGAAAATATATAAGCCCGCTGTATAAATTAGGCTGACTGCTTACTTGCTTCCTATGGCAGAAACAATTGATCGATTATTATTACCTGCTATAGGTGGCCCAAGAGATAGAAATGATCCTTGAAAGGCAATCAGAAATCCAAAGGCTTGTGCTATATTTTCTGCTCCAACACAATCCAATATGGCGACACATAATATGGCGTTATAAGCACCAAAGAACATTCCAGAGAAGATTGAGTATATAAACATAGTGATGTAAGTTTTATATAAGTAACTCAACAATGTATTAATACCATGTAAGAAGAGACATATTATTGTCAACCTAACGCGATGTTTTACCAAGTCTCCAATCTTCCCAGCAAGAAGTGCACTCGGGATGCTAACAATTCCAATCGCGAAGTAGAACCATTTTGATTTGTTTTCATGAATGCCGTAAGATTTAGCACGATCTACCTATATAGGAAAAACAAGATCTGTAATATATACAGCATGAGCCATGTTGTATAATACAAACAGAAGCGGATGACGAGTGGTTTTTGTATCTTATATACAACATGGACTCCATGATCTTATATTGATAAAATATTTTAAAATGTGAATGATATTGCTGAAGAAAGTTTATTATTAATAATTATTTATGGCCTGAATTTATGCTTATATAAGAACTAGAATATATTAGAATGAATACGTCATAGTAGAAAACACGTTTATTGGTCGACTACCACGACCACCAAATAACACCATTCAGCCAATACCGTAGGACTTTTCAAACAGTGCGCTGTTACAGCTGTATACAACTTTGTCATATACATTGTATACTAGATGACATTTGCTATAGCCTATGAGCGAAGTTGAAATTTTCCCTTTATTTAGACGTTGTAGCATTAATGCATGCATGTTGATAAGCCTATTATAGCAAGTGAACTCACCAAAAAGAAGTTTCCAACAGACCATCCTAACATTGATACTGATGATCCAAGCATAAAGACAAAGAACCGAGGACGTTTACATAAAGACATGTCGCAAAATGGTGTTCTCTTCTTCTCAGAAATATTTGGAACTTCTTCAATCCAACCATAGGTTAAACTTAACAGACTAATAATGACTCCAAGATATCCAAGTATACGAAACATAACTTTCCAGTGAAATTGTTCCAATAAAAATGTTATTATCAAGGAAAATGTTAACATTCCTGCGGGACCGCCACTGGATACTAAAGAGCATGCCATTCCTTGATATCGCGACGACATACATTTAATAGGTACTATCCCTATTGATGAATACAATAAAGATGCTGCCACTGCGAAAATAAGAGAAAATGTAGGAAATAGGCCATAGATTGTATTTACGTAAGAAGCTGATATTAAGCCAACAGAATATAGAAATCCTCCGGCAATGGAAATATTACGTATTCCACACCAGTCGATGAAAGATCCCACCAGCGGACCGAATACGAACGTTAACGAAAACTGACATGATCCAACCAGTGCTGAAAAACAAATATGGAGGGCGTATCAAAAAAAGATTATCCAACTTTGACATGTTATCGTGCGTTTAGGTATTGCGTTTATATAGGTTTTCTATTTTCGTGTTTATAAATATCAGCCTTTTAGCTGTCATTTGACACCTTTATTGAATGGCTATCTTTAAAACAGGGGATGTGGAATCGGGGAATCCGGGAATTGGGGAATCCGGGAATGCAGAACTGATAAGACGGGGGATATTAGTGTGCTTGTTGGAAAACGCATTTGCTACTTTGTTTAGAATAATACAAGCAATGAACATACAGTATACACTGCGGATCAGTTGTCTTACTATATAGCCGCTTATGCTAATGATATATTATATATGTATAACAGCGCTATGCACGTATGTGATTTTAATTGAACATATGATTTTATTAATTTCAATTAGACATTAGCGTCTATAGAATTTTGTTCCAACGCGCAAGTTTATGCATTGCATCATACAGGAAACGGGTTAACACTAAAAGCCCACGCTTTATATGTTAAATATTAAAGCGAACGGGGAGCAATTCGGCGGCGACGAGGTACGGTTTTTATTTACAGATACTTTAAGGTACATTACTGTGGAGTTTAACTCCAACGTCTGCTTAAACCAAATCTGTGCGATTTTTAGTTGTTAAAAAATAATCAAAAATATGTTAATTTTAAAGTACTGTAAGTAATTTGGGATTACAAAGTATCCGTGAATGAAAACTAAAAACATACCGCGTCATCGCCGCCGCCGCCGAATTGCGCCCTTTGGCTTTAAAGCCTGTTTTCCACTAGGCGGAATTTTGCGCGCGGAGCGGAATTTTTCTTTGTCTTTTCTAATTAGTTCCACCCGAGAAATCACAAGACAAAGAAAAATTCCGCTCCGCGCGCAAAATTCCGCCTAGTGGAAAAGCGGCTTAATATTTAACATATAAAGCGTGGGCTTTAGTTTCATGTTATCCCGTTTCCTGTAAGATGCATGCATTTTACAGTCTATTAATTCAAAAAACTTGCGCGTTGGAACAAAATTCTATAGACGCTAATGTCTAATTGGAATTAATAAAATTATATGTTATTAAAATCACAGATGTGCACAGCGCTGTTATAATCTATAATATATAATAAGCATGAGTTATTTAAGACAACTGATTCGCATTGTATACAGTAGCGAACACGCTTTACAACAAGCACTTTCATAATATCCCCGTCTTATCAGTTCTGGATTCCCCGATATCCGGATTTCCCGATTCCCGGATTCCCGGATTCCCCATTCCTTGTTTTATGTTTTAAAGATAGCCTTTATGGCATCATTGTGATAAAAAATGACCAAAATATGCGTTATGTCGGTCGTTGAGGTCAGACGTGCATTTTGTCGTGCGTTAAATTCACGGCGCTAGACGAAATATGTTGTTGTTATTCAAGATTGGAGATTTGGTAACGCTAAGATCATTTTGCAAATAAGGTATTTGTCTCATATTTGTTTGCATTTGCGACAGCAGTTGAGCCCTCCCAACAGCAAGATTTCTAATTATTTGCCCCGTACCGTCTTGTAGGGTTTCCATTGGCGATCGAAAGTAGCGGTCATGCTAGTCACGCTGGGCATGACCAAACATTTTCCCAAAAATATGAAAATATGCGTTATATATAGCTATACTTCTTGTCTTCTTGTAATAAAAACATTACATTACATACTTCATTGACATTCCCATAATCGGGCTTTTCAATGACAATTATACACGGGGCTTCGGTGGTGCAACCGTCAGAGCAAGCGCCTTTCACCTCTGAGATCGTGGGTTCGATTCTCGCTACGGACTTGTGCGTGACACTTATGTGAAAAGAGCAGGGACGCCGGAGCGAGGGTAGGGCACAGGGGGGCAATGTTGACGTAAGGGCAATCACTAATTAATATTTCGTTTCCGAAAAATTTTTCCGGAACCTTAATTCACCAAAACTAGGGCAAAAAATTTTCCGGAACCATAATTCACCAAAACAAGGGCAAAAAGTTAACCTAATTTTTGACACAATATTCCAGAAAATTTCACGTATATATCAATATGACGTCCATTTCACCCGTAATTCATACGTTTTAATCGTTGTACCTCATATTTTTTGGGTTAGAATTTTTATCTAAGGGCACTTTCGCCCTCCCCCCTGCCCCCCTTACTAAAGGGCAAGGGGCGCTGCCCCCCCCCCCTGCGCCCCCCTTTCCGGCGTCCCTGGAAAAGAGTTGGTCAACGCTCTACCGAAAGTCGTGGGTTTTCTCTGGGCTCTCCGGTTCCCTCCAACAGGGAATAGACAGATTTAGATCGCGGAAGTCAAAGACGACGTGAAAATGGCGTGTTGTGCCCATGTATGGATATGCCACGCCACTTTGACGCCATTTTTACGTCGTCTTTGACGTCCGCGTCCTCGATCTAAATCTGTCTAATGTTTACAGGGTGAGTAAGTAAGTAATAATAATAATAATTTAATTAAAATAATAATAATTTATTAACTTGTACCGCGCTAAAACTATAGAATATTCTAAAGCGCTTAATTACATAAAATAGGAAGCTAATAAAAATTTCCCTACGTTATTTACTTGTTTACAACATTTAACTACTATAAGCATCTATTTAAAAATATTTAAAAACAAGATTCTTACAAAAATGTCGTAAGATTTGTCTTAAAAGAATCCAACGAAGGTGAAAGCCGAATCTCACACGGTACTTAGTTCCATAGAGTAGTCCTGCTTTCAAAAAGGCACGATCACCAAAAAACTTTCTCCGTGTGCTTGGAACATGAAGAAGCCCTAGTTCGTCTGATCTCAAAGAGTAGTTATTACTTTGTTTATAAGTCAACATTTCACAAATATATTTGGGAGCCAATCCATGCAGAGCTTTATAAACCAACAGTACGATCTTGAATATAACACGATATTTAACCGGTAAGGGACCGCTCATTATTTATTGTACAGGGGGGATTGAGGAGAAACTGGGGGGGCCTTCAAATTTTTTAAAACCTGAAAGGGGGGGGCTTTGAAAAAATACAGAGAGACGAAAGAAGGGGGGCTTTGAAAATATTTACCAGTTTGAAAAAACAGTAGTTTTTAAAATGTATCACAAAACAACTTAACAACAAATAACAATATTTATAGACTTTAATATTCATAAATGGAAGTCAAATAAAAAGTCTCTCGTGTTCATGTAAATAGACAATTCCCATTATAGACTAATTTTAGAACTAGGCAAAGGGATGCAAATCAAGGCCGGATTTTGATGAAAATAGTGGGGGAGGTGGACAAAAATTTTAGGAGAGGTGCAGCGGTCTACCTCACAACTCCCATGGAAAGTTAGGGCTTATTGTAGAACAGCCCAATATCAACGAGGTGAGGTATGCATGTAGTGTACATAATATGTACCAGTGTATTAATGAATTATGAATGTATGACTCCAATCTTGCCCTTCATTACAATTGCTACACTGTTTCTTTCAAAACATTGCACTAAAAGGGTGCTTGACATGGCTATCACTGTTTCAATTTTACAGAGAAAACTTTCTTACGTCACAAAGTGTAGATCCTAAGCAACCATCACATTTTCACTTTGTTCCATCATTGAAACTTTCCCAAGGGGAAGTGCATGACCTTTCAAGAGAGGTGGAAAAATTCTCAGGGGAGGTGCAAAACGATCTCTGGGGAGGTGCGCACCTCTCCACACTTCCCTCAAAATCCGGCCTTGATGCAAATAAATCACCACAGCTAGAAAGAGCATACTAAAATAAGTAAATTATTGCAAAGTTTGGTTGCGAATTGTTGCAAAATACGGAAAATATAGCCTTGCAAAGTTTGCAAATTTTGTACACTTTTGTATTGCATGCGAAAATTGCAATTATACAAAAGAATACAAAATTTGCAAACTTTGGAAGGCTATATTTTCTACATATTTTACAACATTTTGCAACCAAACTTTGGAATTTTAGTAATTTTAGTATGCCCTTCCCGGGAATATACTTTTTTTGCTAAGATAAAAAATTAGTCTATAATGGGAATGTCTATTGGTCCCCATTACCTATTTTTCTTTCTCTAAAATAAACAGCTAGAGTTTTTGTTTCTCTAAATAAAGATAAAGAGCTAGAGGGGGGGCAAAATTTATGTTCTTGTTTTGCCTGTTGGGGGGGGGCTTTGAAAATTTTACTTGTCTTAAGAGGGGGGCAACGAAAAAATATTACAACTGTAGAGTTTCTCCTCAGTCCCCCCTGTACAATAAATAATGAGCGGTCCCTAACCAATACAGTCTCATTAATATAGGTGTAATGTGATCAAACTTAGGTACAAGACATACAACACGAGCAGCAGCGTTTAGCACTTTCTGCAATCGATTTAATTAATATTTTGGAATTCCATACAGCAAAGAATTGCAATAATCCAAATGGTATGTAATAAATGCATGAACTAAAATTTTGGTAGCATCGTCAGTTAAGTATTTCCTATTTTGTTTGATATGGTAAAGGCTTCGAAAGGCCTTGCTGCAGGTTTTGCTAATATGCAAATTCATGGACATGTGAGTATCTAACCAAGACCCAAGATCACGAACAGCGCCTACTGGAGGAATCAATACTTCTCCTACCCTCAATTTGTCAATCGATACCTTGGATAATTGCTGACGAGAGCCAATAATAATCAACTCTGTCTTGCTACTTTGAATAAAAAGACGATGTGCAGTCATCCAGTTTTGAAGCTCATCAATACAATCTTCCATTGCTTTAACAGCTGACTCCTGATGCAATGAGTTCTGAGGTTTAAAAGACACGTAAAGTAAAAATAGAACAGGACCCAGGCAGCTACCTTGGGGAACTCCAGTAGCAACCATAAACTCGGAGGACTTACACCGATCAATGACAACTTGCTGCTTTCTATTAGTCAGATACGATCTAAACCACTGAAGTGCACTGTCCACTGCTCCAAAATTATTCTTGAGGATATCAATAAGAATATTATGGTCTATAGTGTCAAAGGCAGAACTCATGTCGAGCATAACGAGCAACGTAACCTCTTCGTTGTCCATATTAATAAGTATGTCATTCTGCACTTTAAGCAGCGCAGTTTCAGTTGAATGGAACTGACGATATGCTGATTGATTGACAGGCAGTGGTGCATTTTCGTTACAGTGATTAACTAATTGCGACATGACAATTAACTTTCTCAGCTACCTTTGCAAGAAAATGAAGATTATTAACAGGTCTAAAATTTTCAAACACTAAATCCATACCAAGTTTCTTAAGACGGGGATCTACAAGTGCCAATTTTCAGGAACTATTCCTTTCTCCAGCGACATGTTGATCATTTTTGTAATTATAGGACGCAGAACATCACAGCAATCGTTAAGCAAATAAGTTGGTATTGAATCAAGTTGACAAGAGGCATTTGATGCTTTCGAAATAACTCCTCGTATATCATCTTGCGACACAGGAGAGAAGGATTTAAGCAATACTTCAGTTAAACGATGTTCAGTAGTTATCGGATTAACACCAATCTTATTAATTTCGTCATTGATAAGTTCAATCTTTCGACCGAAAAATGTTCCAAATTCGTTCGCCAGAGTCAACGGATCCTCATAAGGTGGTAAACTTTCAAGTAAGTAAGTAAGTAAAGTAAGTGAGGTGTGCTAATCATCCTTACTTGCAGCTGAGAGCTAAGCTGAATTACGAGGGAAGCAGCTCAACCTGATCGAGTCGAAGGTTTTCTAAGGGCGCCTATTGCAGCCGGAGCACAGCTACGGTGGAAGGGTCAGTTAGGGGAATAATCCCAACCCACTTATACAATCAATTAAAATATTATATGTATACTAGAAAATACATGCATGCAGAAACCCTCGCCTTGCTGACAAAACCATAGTATTTTCCGAACATGAAGTATCTCAAGTAGTTGTCATGGTATAAACACGATAAATTTTTAAGAATATTCTTACAAATGAAAAATCGCCTAAAAAGATCACTTTTAATTACAAAATTATTAATTTCCCAACATGTATATGTTAGATATGTTATTATACGTAATATAAGCCTCAATTTAAGCCGACTCGAGTTACACTTCTGCTGTACCTTCTTATTCTTGTGCCAGAAGGGACACTCCTATGTGTTTTGGCTTGGGAAAAACGTCCGAAATTTTTTACGTGCTATGACGCCATCCTGGAGTACACACGGCACTTTGTACCTATGTTTTCCTATGAAAAACGTCCATGTGTACTCCAGGATGGCGTCAAATGATGGCGTATTTGCACGTCAGCACTCGTAAAATTTCGGACAAAATATCGTCTGAGTGACACTTCTGGTCCAGTATCTATTCTGTGATCAAATCAAGAAATGTTTGCTATTTCGCTGTCGTCATGCAGTCGTTATAATGCAAACTTTAAATTGGACCAATCTGTGTCCGCTATTCATGACAGTCCGCCATATTTTTGAGACCAGTGAGGATGACCACCCACCCAACACCCCAACATCACAGAATAAGAAGGTAAAGCAGAAGTGTAACTTGAGTCGGTTCCTTTATTGTTTTACGTCCACGAAAATTTTAACTCGCTCACGCCATCCTGGCTAGTACAACCAGAAGTTTTTACCAGGTTTTGGTAGGTACAAAGTGCCGGATGTACTAGCCAGGCCAGGATGGCGTGATTGATGACGAATCGCTTGTAAAAACGCGGACAAATACTTGCTTGAGTTACACTTCTGCTGTACCTTCTTATTCTGGGCCAACATCGTTGGTCACCCACGCCCGCGATAATTGATGAACTTTAGACTTCGCTAATGCTTTCGTTTCCACGGGTGTAAATAGCCGGCGGGAATTAGTGCCCTCGCACGGCGCTTCGCACCGTCGACTCGGGGATAAATCTATCTACTGTATATTGTTAAGTATTACATATCAGTAGATAAATCTACAGTATGTACTATTTAAAACAACAAGGGTAAATAATGTTAGCCAATCAGCGCGTTTGTTTACATTTTGCGTCCTCGACCAATCAGAATGCCTGAAATTCGAAACACATAAACAAAAGGAGTGAGAAAATAACACTTTGTTCTACGCCCCCCGTGCCATTCGATATTAAACTTTTTACTCCAAAACTGAAAAATTCTGATAAAGTGTACTTTATTCTTTAATTTCCTCGGGGGATTTTTTAAATTCGATCTAGAACGTGAAATATATAGTTTGAATAACAGTGTTTCGACGCACGTGACTCTCACTTAACACATACATAAGAAATTGGCAGATTTTTCAGTTTAAACCTATTTTCACCGGCATACTTCGAAACCCGGACCGGACTCGGACTCGGACCCGGACTCGGACTCGAAGAAAATCCGGACTCGAGAAAACCCGGACCCGGACTCGAAGAAAATCCGGACTCGTGTTTAACAAAACCCGGACTTGACTTTTGAAAACCCGGACTCGAAATAGACAAAACCGGATTCAAAACAAGGACTCTGTGTACGAGAATGCAAAGGTTTTATCGGTAATAACTCGCGGATAAATGGATTTGTGCTCTTGCGCGAGTGTCCCTTTATCCTCTCGCTTTTGTATATAATAAAATACTTTATTTCAAAAGCAATAAGCTTTGGTTTCGAAAGATATAGATATTTTTTTCTTCTAGTGACTCAGTGTTATGCGTTATCTGAGGATACTAATCAGTTATCATACTATATGGTTCCTCACAAAATAATCACTATATAGCCTACCTAAACAAATCATTTAGCCTTATAGGCCTACATCCTTGCTTACTTACTTAATTTAAAAATTTATTTAACCACGCTGACCATACACAACATATTTGTAAAATACATACTCCTGCGAGTAGCTAAATCTACCCTAGACATAAATTAATAACTGAAATCTGACTCAGCAGCTAGGAATGTCTTGTCTGTAAACCATCTCGTTACACGATTGCTGCCACCATAGCAGACTCAACGTGATCGATGGCGGCAAGGGTAAAATATATCCTCAACATATTCGACCTCACTATCGGCAAAATGACACGAAAAATAACTAGACTTCAACCAATCAAAAGTAACTTCAGCCAATCGAAAAGAACGCCGGAAAAGCACATCCCATGTCGGAAGGTAATGAAGGTGTCGCGGCAACCGCGTCTAAATACCGACTGTGAAATAATTCGAGCGTTGTGCGGATGGACATAAATTTGACATTATAACATGCTCCCAAATAGTTGGACAAGACGCCACTGGAAACACGTTTATTTTCTCAATTTCGTTAAGATAAGTCCGGAAACACGAATTGAACACCCGCAATTATTCTTTATCCGAAAGTAGTAGAAAACACATCACAATTAACTTATTAAAGCAACAGCCGCACCCGCGGCCGACAGTGAAATTCGCCTTGGGTGGATTGGCATAAATTTGATATTGAGACTCTCTCGTTAGGCAATGCGTTCATCAATTGCCCCATAATGGCCCATATGCCTTGCATACAACCGCGGCTCGATACTGACAATGAAGTTTGACAATAAATATTTTGAGAATCAACATGCTACCCTCGTACTAGCTACTTGTAGTTGTAGATCGTTGTGCATCAATACATTTTAGTTTTTAATAACTTATAAGTGCCCAAATGATTTGGTTCCAGTATATCTAAGTGATTATTTCGTTAACAGCAGAAGATTAAAAGTATCGAGATAAAGATATAAAGAGATCATCGTTTATCATGTTACTAATTATTAAACCTTTCCAAAAAACCTTTGCATTTTCGTAACAGAGTCCTTGATTTGAATCCGGTTTTGCCTTATTTCGAGTCCGGGTTTTCCAAAGTCAAGTCCGGGTTTTGTTAAACACGAGTCCGGATTTTCTTCGAGTCCGGGTCTGGGTTTTTCTCGAGTCCGGATTTTCTTCGAGTCCGAGTCCGGGTCGGAGTCCGAGTCCGGTCCGGGTTTCGAAGTATGCCATTTTCACCAGACCACACAGCCGACATGTTTTTAAATATACCCATCTGATCTCATCTCGCATCGGAAATGCGTCACAACGATCCAGGACTGACTCATTACATATCCGGTTGGCGAAAATACCCACCCGGATAAAAATTTATTGTTACCTCCCAGATTCTGGGAGACAATACCAGGGTATTTTCTCAGTAGGTGGCCGTGGCACCGAGTATAAGAGAAAATAGCCTGGGTACGAGGTTGCGGCACCAAGCGCCGTTCCGGGTGTAATCCTGGGGCGTAGGTACTAATTCCGCTCGGCTATTTACACCCAGGTGTGTGAGAACATTTCGTCGTTATGCGTATGCGCGAGTACAAACCGAGAGTGGACTGGTATCTATCAAGCTCGTGATTTGTGATTGGCTAATATGAAGGTTTTGTTTTTCTTTTATCACGTCACAAGTTTAACTGTCATTTCCTCATTTTGCTGTATATTTTATACTTCACACTAAACAAAATTTTGTAAAGAAATATTCGCCAATATGTAATAAAACAACGACATTTTATAAAAGACAAGACGCTGTATGGAGCGTCAAGTCGCTCTATGGAGCGTCAAGTCGCTGGGCCTATGGAAATATGCCTGACAGTCAATTTGCGGACAATAATAAATGTATTTGCCTGACAGTGATGTTTTGCTAATTTTAAAAGTGTGGGGGTACGCTCTTGAAAATGAAATGGGCGTGGTCACTCGATTGGGCGTGGCCACATGCATAGTCACAGTGAACAAGTAACATGCGCAATAGCTTAATCTTTGAAGTGGATTTAATCATAATTTAATAGAACACGTACCTAAAAAAAACATCTAGCTTGCGCGTTGTAGATTTCAAAAAGCAAATAAAACTTTCGAATTGTTGATGAAATTTAATAGTGCTATGTGAATATGCGGCAAGCCGGCAACTTGGCAAGCAGGCAACTTTGCAAGTTAAATATGACGTTTTCGTGAGTAACTAAATAAGCTTAGATAATAAATATCCTTGAATGTTTCCCATTTAAACATGTTAATGTTCTTATTGAATCATTTTATGTTCCCATAATCCCATTAATCATTTAATGTTCATTTTAACGTTTAATTTCGCGATTACGTGAAAGACTAACAAATTAATGCTGGGTTGCTGCCTGACGTTATCCGGGTTTGTGACAATAAGTAAGTATTTTTGTGCTAGTCTGCTAGAATTTTCTGCAAGTATATCAAGTTTCAGGGAGATTTGGAC